CTGGCAACAGAAACACATCTACAGTACACACAGGCGTGCACGCCGCGCACCGCAAGTACAATCATCACCCGTGCAATCGTTGGTCGGTTTACTGGTTTCTGTTGAAAAACATTGCGTTGTGTAGAAGCAGGACAACCGCTGACGGTCCATCCATGAAACAATGCAGTGCCTTCATAAAGTCACAGATACAAATATCTATCTGCTATCTTAGTGTGCATCAGCCTATACTGAGGTCAGTTAACCCGGACAGTGTACACATGCAATGCTGCCTTAGCACTATTTCTCTCACACACACACACACACACGCACACACACACACACACACACACACACACACACCTTGGGAAAAAGCCAAGAATGATGGGACCATAAAATATATTTATTACATCAAAAGGCATGATTGCCGTGCTGTGTGTTTTTAAATAAAAAAATACCAGGGCACAGAGAGGAAGGTGACAGCTCATATGTGAAATCCACCCTGCTGACCTTTGACCCTCACATCGGCTGTTCCCAGCATCCTATTGTTTACCCTCCCAGACCCAATCAGCTTCCCCACGACTGTCTCCCACGGTGACATTGTGTCCCGGCCAATGAGGCCGGCTCTTCCGGTGCTCTGTGCAAACTGGATTTGTTTCAAATGTGTGCACAGCCACACACACACACACACTGTGGCAGGTTACAGAGCCAGCAGAGTGAGCCCACATCGTCCTGTTAAACTGAGAAACTGTCGGGCATCTGTTTGCCCATTAGCCGGCAGCTAGAAGGTCCAACGCCCGTTACTCCTCACAAGGGCGTGGAAAAGCTCCAGCGGTTCAAAGATTTTACAGTCGGAATTTTTCATGTTGCAGATTTCTTGTCGTTGTGTTTTTTATATTGCATTTTTTATTTACCAAGTCCTTGTTCCAGTGCTTCCTTTTGTATTTTTGGTTATATAACAGGCATTTTGTATCCCATTTTTCTCTCTCTCGCCTCTCTTTTGAATATATTTCCTCCACAAATCAAGTGAGCTTTAGCCCGTTCAAATACCTGTACCTGTTTCATGCTCCAACCTCGGCAGTGCCTACTGTGTTGATATGCTGTCTTCCTTGCTCACATCCTCTCTATTTCCGGCCATCCACTTCTTCTTCTTCCTCCCTCGCTATCTCACCTCTGCACAGTGTTTATGCGTTCTTTGGTCTATTCCACCACCTTCTGCTCCAGCACTTTTGACAGACGGACCATCACATATGCAGACACTTCAAACATGTTCCTTCTCAAAGAGATCCTTGGAAGAGAGCTCTGGAGTAACCCTGAATAAGTCATCAAATCGGCATGTTTTTTTTTGACCATCCTTCTGCTGCGCTCTTCTGTTATCTTTCTACTCACACAAATATGTGCATTCCCGTAGCTTTTCTTTTTATTTCCTCGTCTGCTCTCTCCGTTGAGCTTTGTTTATTTCCATAATTTGACTTCACCCTCTTCTGCATCCCTCAAAGAAATCTGTGTGATTGTTTTTGCTCTACAGATTTCCTCCTCGTCTGCCCACAGAGGAATCTGACAGAGGGACACACAAATAACAAGCCGGCAAAAAAAAAAGGGATTTTCCACTGAAATTCGCTTTCCCCTCATTTCAATTTCGGCTCGAGTTGAGTGAACATCTGTCTCACCGCACTCCGGGGCGACAGATGTGCGACGTGAAGTGGCGGTTGCATATGTACGTATGACGCGTGCATCAGTTGCTCGGGGCTGAAGTCAGTCACACAGACGGGTTGGTTGATAAGGTGTTGCTCCTCTCCCATCACATCTACTCCCAAAGAAGTTGTTCCCATGGTAACTCAGCCAGGTCTGTTAATTGACTAAATGTGTGATGCTCCATAATGAGTAAAAAGCCCCAGAATATACTGCATTAAAATGAGTGAGGAGATAATCACGTCCCACAGCTGCCTCAGGAGATGATAGTAAGAGCTCTCTAATACAAATGTTAATGATGCTGTAATGAAACTGTAGAGCCTGTGGACACCAAAGCAGAGGCGTGAACGCGTCAGAACGTCACATGTACATAAAGCTTATTGTGGATAGAGGGTTTTAAAAAGCCATTTAATCCCATTTAGCATAGCAGCGGCATCACCTACCCACACACGGATACTAGTGGCGCACAACCCAGATATATTGTCTGAGGGGTTGTGTGAGAGAGGGCCGGACGGTTTATGCATACGGGCGAGTGCCTCGTCAAATAATCTACAGTTTTGAATCAAACCTTAAAATGACGCACGGACACTTTGTGAAAGCGTTTCAACAGAGACTTAGTAGAGTTCTGTAATATTCTGATTTAGTGTCCAATGAATATTCAATAATGTGTCTCTAAAAATACACTCCAGCAGACATTCAATGTAATGTAAAGGAGGTATAACAAATTGAATTTATGGAGGAAATATCCAAATTATTTATGAGATCACCGAACTTTACAGGTATTCCAAAACTTCATTTAAAACGGTGTCCACAACGCACAATGTTAAATATGAAAGTATGCTTTCCATTCTGAATGCAGTGGAATAGATTATAAAGTAAAGTGCAATAAAAAAGTACTTTCAACTATGGACTTACATAGTTGAAATTATATTTACTCAAGTACTTTTTGTGGTGAAGATGCAAATAGTGGAATAGAAAAACAGAACAAATCCCACCATGAAAAAGCGTACTTATAGGATTATTAAAGTCTTGACTGAGCGCGGCGTTTGGCTTTGTTTCGTTTAGCGAGAGCTGCTGAGCTGACTCAATGGGAGACCACGGTTGTCTTAATGAAACAGCTGAGAGGCAGCATATAATCTTCTCAGGTAGCACAGCGGCTTTAAAGCACAAACACACACACACACACACACACACACACGTATGGGATCAAAGGAAAGAGAAGCAGGGATGTTAATCTCTCCAAAACACACCTGCATGCAGCAATACTCCATCGCATTAGAGACAAACTCTGCCCATTTGGGTTTTCCTTTCCCCCCCTGATGGTGCATTGCTGCTCGACTCCTGGTCGCTCCTCTAAACAAACACCCACAGTCACATGGCCATTGATGAATTTGCATGCTGGACTATATATAAACTGTTCGTTGCTACAAACAAAGAGAAGCTCACTGTTTGCTGTCCCCTTCCTCTTGTTAACAAGGGCCCTCCTCAATTACTCTCCATCGAGACACTTCCCCTAAATTAGCCACTGAGCCCTTCCTCACCCCCGACCCCCCTCTTCCCCATCTATCCACCTTTTATTATTTAGAACCAAGGGGATCTCCGTTACCATGGATTCGAGTTGTCATGGCTACAAACAACTACGCACTTGTACAGGAAGCGGAGGAGGACAAATGTGAAGGGAGGGCCGGGCAGATAAAGGGTCTTGGAGGAAGCGTAGCCTCTGCATGCTGGCGATCCAGCTGTGATAAATCACAAGGTCGTATGTTCAATGACACATGGAGGTCGGGGCGAAACCTCAGAGGGACGTGAACGCGAATAAGGCACGTGTGTGGTACCAGCTGGTTGTCGTCTTAAGAAGGTGAAGACATCTCAGGGTCTGGCCTGCAACGTCCCTTTCTTCATATTCCAAAAGCGTCTCCCTGCATCGATTCCGGATGGAGCAAACTGTGCCCACATTGAAATCCTGCAATGTGTGTGTACAAACAGAGTAGTGATGCCTCCTTGGCGTGTGCAGCCTTGAAGGATGCACGCCGCCTTTCAAAGAGGGCAGATGAAAGCGGACTTTTATCAGCGTGGACGGACAACCGACTAGTTCATTTTGCACATGCAGGGAGGAGATTTGCAAGCGTCGCCCCCCAGGACTGGAAAGCATGGCAGGCTGCCGGGGAGCACCCTGCTCTCAGTGACGTTTGAGTTCGTCCACGCTCCTCCAAATGAAGCTCTCATAGGCCTCTCGTAGGTGAGACAACGTGTTCCAAAAGGTTTGAGAGACGCTTCCTCTCTACTCAGCCGTTTGAGTGGAGCATACAGTAGATGTTTCCTCTGACGGAGGGGAAGTGCCTTCCATACTCCCACCGTCGCCTCAGACTGACGAGGGGGAGGGGGGGTTCCTCGCTGGGCCGTTTGATCAATAGACCTCAAAAAACCTGTACAACTCAAAACGTGCAGGAAAAGAGACCAGTTTGAGTTCAGATCTAAGACGCTAAATAGTGCACAGCAGACAGAATTACTACAGGGTTACATTCAAGCACCATGTTACATCATATTTATGTGAATATTGTAGCTCTGAATCATCATCATCCTCGTATTTGAAATATCTCAAGTGATTCAAGGTACACCGCCCATTTATGGCGGAGGAGTTTCATAACGCTGTCTGTAGCTCCACCTGGTGGTGGCATGATGCACTGACCACGGCACCCGGGACGACCAGTTAGTGGCTCTGTGTTATTTCTCCTGTCTCTGATGCAGATTCCTCCTTTCATCCATTTCTGTCCTTCACTTGCCCATAACAAAAACAAAAACTCCCCCCCTCCCCCCCCCCTCACACGGTAGTTGAAAGGTTTTAGTGCAGAGCGGCTCTTAAAAGACAAGTGCTAAATGCACTGCAGCAGATCCAGTGGGAAGAACTCGGTCTACAGCACCAGCACTTGGCTGTTAACTCTGCAATAACGCTTCCTACGGCGATAATGTCGACACGGTGCATTAAACAGAGAAGGAAAATCAATGAGCCAGCTAAGGCAAGAGTCCCATTCAAGCAGTAGCCAGTGAAAGTCAAAAGCAATCACTGTAGGATCTTTAAATGTTAAATTCTGCATTTCATAATCGGTCTCATCGTTTATCCTTTTCAATATTGAGTGCAGATTATGGGCTTCGTCTCGTGTGCCTCACACGGTCTGCTTATGGCCGCTGTCTATTTCTGTGGTTCCAGTTAAGTGTGACTTTTCTTTCTTTAGAAAGGAGCCAGACTATATATTACACCCTGGTCCCTCCCTCAGAAACTTTGCTGAAGTAACAGCTGATGTCAGTCCTGCTTAAAGACTCTCTCTCTCTCACACACACACACACACACACACACACACTATAACCTGTCTGCCATTAGGCAGCGTCTTCAAGGGCACAGCCAGTCTAAGGGGAGGAGGGCTCCTACACCTTCCTCTTCCCACGCCGCATCAGCATAGGGGAGACTTAAATCCCAAATTGCGTCAGACAGACGCGTGGCAGGCGGTTATCTAAAACTCTCAAGAGCCCACATGGGGCCACTTGAATCATGGCGCTGCACCGTATTACTTCCGAGACCCCCACCACAGCCTGCTCCTGCTCCACGGAGCCCCTGTACGACAACTGCCCGCCCTTTACCCAGCGAGGGAGGGCCGGGGGAAAGGAAAAGAAGGGTAGGGCCGCGTGCCCTCCTGTAATCAGACTCCCGGGCCCCTGCGGCCCTCTGCCTCATCGGGTCCCAGCTGTGAATGGAGCTCCCACGGGGGTCGGTGGGGGGAGAGGGACTGGCGCTTGGCCAGATCACAGCCACTGCAGCTGGAGAGGAGGCCTGGGAAAACAGGACCAGGAGGCAGAGCCGGGGCCATGCATATCAAACACAGTGAGAGGAGGAGGAGGAGGCAGAGCAGGAGGATGGGAAGGTAGCTGGGGGGCCGAGGGCACAGCGCATCGGAACCAGAGCGAGGAGCACAGCAGCGCTCTCTCTCTGTACGACAACCTCCCCGCTGCTGACACTGCCGACGGCCTCCCACAGGTCTCTGTCGACATGGAAACAAGCGTCCCGGAGCACTGGCAGGGGTCCCCAGCGCGGCCCCCGGAGCAGATCCGGGCCCTGGTGGAAAGCGAGGCAGTGAGTGGCGACGAGAGCACCGGAATCCTGCGGCAGAATCCAGACCAGGACACAGAGCACGAACGGGAGCCGGAGCCGGACTCGGGGTCCTGTGGGTTTAAACGGACAGATCCTCCCCAGGAACGGGTTCCAGCGAGCTCCCCTCAACCATCCCCAGCTGAGCGCAGGGTTCCGTGGCCCCGAGCCGGCGCCCAGCAGCCGGAGCAGCCGCCCTGGTCTCCCAGGGCGCCCCCTCCTGTGCCCCTGGCGGACCCCTCCGCCAGCGCCCTACGCAGCCTCCTCACCAGCCTGCAACAGCAAATAGGCAGACAGAGGGAGGAGTACGAGGCTCGAATACTCGGGTAAAGTACCGCTTACTGGGCACACGTCACCACGTCACAGAGATCAGGCACACATGGAAAAGAAGGGCTCAGGATTGAATGCGCTCAAGCTGTTGGTGGAGATTTTTCCCAGCCACTAGTGTCCTTCTAGTGGAGGGGGACACAGTGTTCAGGTTCCCAGACCGTGTGAGTGTCCACCCAGCTGACCCCGAGCGTCACCCTACATCCTGCCTACTTCAAAGCACACGGACAACTGCTTTTAGTCTCCTTTGAAATGTCCCAAAACGGGCAGTATTAAGATTATTTTTAATTATTTCAATTAAATATGTTCTTAGTCCACAGTGGAGATCTCAGTGTAGCACATATTTCATGTATATAGTTTCTAACTGACCGAAAACACAAATTTACAACTGCACATTGTGTCTGTACAACGAGCTCATGTCACTGGAAAGAGAGCTAATTTAAGGGCCCATGCTGCTGACGGAGACACATGCCTCTTTTATCACTGATATAGATATAGAGCAGGTCCCAGCGTACAGCCACTACTGGTTGGCACGGACAAGAGGAAACCGGCAATTCTAATAGCTTAACATAGTGTGGGAAGGAAATAGATGTACTGTAGGCCACCTGTTCGGCCTTTACCAACTATATCGGGCATCGAGCATGAAACCTTCTCGAACCGAACCATCTACGCAGCTACCGATTGTCTCTCTCTCTGGTCTCCACCATCAGCCTGGAGCAAAGAAACGGAGAGCTGCAGGCGGAGGTGGCTCGGTTGAAAACCAACCTAACACAGCAGCGGAGCTGGTACCGCGCCGTCCAGGCTAAGATCGACGAGTCGGAAAGGAGCCGGGCCGCCGCAGAGCTGCGCAATGCCACTCTGCAGAAGGAGATGGAGCAGTTCTTCGACACCTTCGGAGAGCTCAACAACGAGGCCAAGAAGACGGAGTACATCGTCAACAGCTTTTGAGAGAGGAACACGTGAAGTGTGTGTGTGTGTGTGTGTGTGTGTGTGTGTGTGTGTACGAACAGTGTGCAAAGAGAAGGATGAGAAGGCACAACTCATTAAACTCTAGTTGCTGTAGAAGTTTGACACGATCCATGCAGAATATTTACTTCCCTAATCGGAAACAATTTGAAGTGATGTACAGCTACTTTTTCATGAAGAATCTGAGAAACATGGAAAACGTATCACCGATGTCCACTTTATTAGTTACGCATGGGCAAAAGATGTTGGCCAGGTGATAGTATTGTGGTCATTGCAACAACACAGGACATCTTCGACAATAAAACGAGAAACTAACTGAACTAAATTGTGAGATGCGCAGGTTTTACAATGGAACTTTTTCTCTTTAACACGGTAGCCGTGGTAAAGGCGCCTGAGCTCTGTAATGCTCAGACCGAATCTGAGAAGAGTTGGGTGAAGTTGCCACTCCACAGGTCATTTAAGGCATGACTTAAAGAATAACAGCACATAAAAAAATATAAAAAAACGAGTGCAACGGTTAAAACATTAGTGATACTCCATACGGTCCTATTTCTGCATGTCCATTACAATGTGCAATCAGTTCTGCAAAAAGCAGCTCCACAGTCCAATTCTCTCATCTTTCCGAGATGGAAGTTTTTCCATCTCGAGCGCCAGGGTCCAGATGTTCCCTCTGGACTCTCCAGTCGCATCCTGCCTTTAAACCACGGCGGGTTTGCTTTTGGTCGAGGGAACAGCTTCCTCCGTAGACTTTGCCCTTACAACCGGGCGACTGCTGTCTTCAAGGACGATTTAAAGGAGAGCGATGCACAGTACATTTGTGTGTTCTATAAGACACACACACACACACACACACACACAAAGAAAGACAAAGGCTCACAAGGCAAATAAAACCCCAAAACATCTGCACCAAAAAGGCTTTTAGAACCAGGAACATCAGGGTACCGGAAGTAAAAGAACTGACCTGAACGGATTTCTCTTTATAACGAGAACTACGGTATCCTATTGGCATCTTTAATGCCTCCATGCAAAGTAAACACCGTTATTTGTGTTTTACAGCCTTTATCTACATGATGTCTGATACGTGATGATTTGAGTGACTGCTCCAGGACCGATGGAATGGTTTAGAAAAGGAGCGATGAAATACTTTGACACGAGGCATATTTTTAGTCGCGCCTCGATGTGATTGAGTGCAACATTTTGCAAGAACAGAAAAAATAAATACCACATGTATATCTTTTTGCCTCTCCAACATACACGATTACGATATTGTTTTGACACACACATTTTTAGTACCTTATGTCTAATGGCGGGGCAGTATAGAGTTCTACAGAAATGTTAAATTTCATACAAACGAAACAAGCGCGCCTCATCCGTTACTGATGACAGGGCCAACGGCCACTACGAGTGTCAGATCACGACATCTTTACAGCTACTTATAGCAGGAAATAAAAAGACTTCCTCGAGCTAGAAGGGGGTAAAATCTCAAAATCCACATGACTCAAGGCAACTGATTAAAAAGACGGTGCAGAAAGCCCTGCAGTGCAGATCTGTAATACTGCGAGCTAGCTAAAGGCTCGATCAAACGTTGCAGGAGTATTTGATCATCATGGGATTGTGATTAGATGACCTATGGTCAGCTTTTGTTTGTGTGGGCGGAACATGCATGAGAAGCAGCTGTGGTCTATTTTCAGTGCTAGTCCGCTCTGATTTGATATCTTCTGGTCTCAAGATAATATTTGTTAAAAAAATAAAAATATTAAAACACAGGCATACAAGACAAACGACAATTCCTCCACCTACTCCTGGTAACCTGAAATCAATATGGATGCATACGTTGTATATACTCGATATAGGTAAACAATATCCACAAAAGAGAGAGATAAAGCGGAGGTTCTTGTTTGTGATTCTTGTTGAATCACAAACAAGAAGGAAAAAAGCAAAAATAGACCTATTTGTTGATGCTGAAGAGGAAGAAAAAGGAGGAAAATCACAGAACCCAAAAAGGGGAGTGAAAGGAAGGTGGCGGTGGGCTGATATTGGGATCTTGTAACTGGGAGGCAGGCAGAAGGACGCGGCCACAGACTGTGTTCACTGACTCTCGTCCAGCGGCCCCGTCAGTGTGTCGATGCTGCTGCTGTCCGTGTCCGAGGCCAAGGTGTGCTCCGTGGACATGGACGAGATGTCGTTTGCTGACGAGGACTGCGAGGCTGAACCTGACACCACATCTGACACGTGACCCACAGACACACACACAGAATGTTTAGGTAACATTTAGAGTAAAAGGGGGCATTTCCAATACATTTGTCATGGGACAACAATGTGGATACAACAACGTATCTCAAGAAACGAGTATTAGATTGAAGCCAAATTTGCGCTGGGAATACCTCTTATAGCTTATGTCCAAAACTGACACAAAATGAATGAAGATCACATTTGTACCTGAACTGTCTTCTTTCATCAGTCCATTCTTGTTCCTCTCTTCCCAATCAATCACCTCTTCATAAATTAGTTCTATAGAAAAGCAGACGATGGAGTGGCGTCAGTGTGTACAAGAGTTTACCGCTATGAAGGTACAGAAATTCAGAATCCTCTCAGAATTGTGGGTGTGTAGTTAATGAATTACCTGTAGTTACCGCTTTAACTGAATGCGTTAGATATACAGTACCAGTCAAAAGTTTGGACACAACTTCTCATTCAATTAAATGCTGCTATGCTGACAAGATTTCCCTAGAGGGCAGCGTATCTTACCTTTCCATTGCTCGATGGAGTGCTCTCTCTCTTCCAGCTGTTTGTCTGAAATCTGGGGAGGAGGCTGCGAAACAAAAAGGAAACCCATGAAATCAGCGCGGTGCCACACGGCCAGCTGCTGCCCACGATGAGGTGAACCCCGGCTGCAGCGCTCCCCTCACCGCGTCCGCCTCTCCGGGGTCGTACCACACGTGGATGTACGGGTGATTGAGGGCTTCTTCTACGGAGATGCGGCATTCGGGATCAACGACCAGCATTTTGGACAGCAGGTCCCGTGCTTGACTTGCTGTGATGGCAACAGAGGAAGGGCAGTGTTACTATGGAAACAGGGCAATGACATTGCTTCATTGAAGTCGTCTTTATGGAAACGGATTTACTTCCCCTTGCGGGTTTAGGCAACATCTCCGAGAATGTCAACATGTGTTCTCTTGTTGATGTCAAACTGTAAATGCCACGGATGAGGGAAGAAAAAACTTTGACCAACATGATCGTTCTCTGAACCAGCTGTATAAGCATCCACTTTTCTCCACTTAAAATGCTGTTAGGACTGATCACATCAGTACGCTGAAGACAAATCCTTTCTTTCATCCCAATGTATTACAACAGCAGCCTTGATAAAAGATTTTATCACCCACAAATATATTGAATGTAAAAAGCCTATATGCATGTGAAGTGTGTTTCCGTGTCCACGTGTCTTACTCTTCACTTTGTCGTGTTCGGAGTCGGAAGGAAAGGCCCAGTCGGGGAAAAGCTCGGCGAAGCTGACGCCAGGATACTGCGGCTTGTTCATCACATAGTTCCTCACGGTCTCCATCAGTCGGTTCATGAACTCCAGGCTGGGCGTGCCCAGAACCTCAATCACCTTATTCCACTGGTCGATGTCTGCATGTCTGTTATGGAGAACCCCGCTGCATTACGGAGCATGTGCATGTGCCAGCAAATGAGAGGAAGATTTGATGGGGCATTGAATCAAGAGATAGAATTCATGCTCCATGAATAACATACATGAATATAACGAACCAGACAACAGTCATACAAGCAGAGAGTTGAATTAAGCTTAATGCCAACATCAGCAATTCAATGCCAACACGGGCCAATTACCAGGAAAAAAAGTGGGGCTGAGGTTGATGGAAATATGTTAGTATTGCAATTTTAGTTAATTTTAGTAATAAGAAATATGTAGTATGAAGGCCATTACTTCCCCAGCTGAGAAGCAATCTATCCTACAATCACACTTTGCCCAGAATCCATTCTCAGCCCCTCGGTGTAAATAGCCAGTGGCACAGGAAGGAGATGAGGAGTGAAGAGGTGACCAAACCCATCAGAGACAGAGAAAAGGACAATATAAATGCAAATAGCTTGAATTGCTTCAATTTGATCCCCACCATCGATTAAAGGGATTATTGTTGTCATTGAAGGGGGCGGGAAACACACACAGCTCTCTGATTAAATTGGGGTGTGCTGCAAATGTGGATCTGTTCCTATTGAACAGATTATGTGTAGAAGCCCGAGAGGGAACTGAAAGACGAGAGCATTGTGTGAAGTGAATGAAACAGCTCATGACTAATGGGAGATTTGATATCGGGTTGGAAGGTGGAAGAAGTGGGAGCGGTGAAGGATACGGTCAGTGCCCTGGAAGATGACGCCGCCTTTCACCATCTCTCCCATGATGCACCCCACTGACCAGATGTCCACTGGGAACAGAGAACACAAACATAAATACTCAAAGGAAAAGTGGATCACACCGCATAATGCAGTGCTAAACGTACAGTCAAATGTCCGATTCAATTTCAATGGCAAATGTAGAACACCAGCTCTGGTTATTTTTGGTCCATCCTCTGGCTGAGCCATGGCCTGATGCTTCCATATTAATCTCAAGGCCTCTCTCTCTCTCTGTCTTTCTCTCCCTCCCAGGACTTTCTCCTCTGCAGCTCTGCTTATCAGTGTACACAGCGGTTGCTGCCTGTGTGCACAGCAGGACGGGCAGTTTTTCTCTCTCTTCCTCTCTCGCCGAGTGAGTTGACACTTTGGTGTGCATGTGAGGCAAACGGCCATTGAGGCCTCGATTCGCCCATGTTTGCTGAACCGGAAAGGTCTGCGCGCACGGAGCTTTGTTCATACAGATGTTTAAAAGTTGTGTTTTTTAAGACTGGTGCGTGGCTGCTCTCACCATTCTCCTTATACTTCATGCCCAGTATGACCTCGGGGGCACGGTAGTATCTGGTCACCACGTACGGGGTCATCATGAAGTTAGTGCAGGCCGTACGAGCCAGGCCGAAATCCAAGATCTTTAAAGTGCAATCCGACTTCACCACAATGTTACTGGGCTTCAGGTCCTGAGGGGAGAGAAAATCTATAAATATAGAAAAGTACACAAGCAAAAATATGGGTTCTGTGGAAGGATGAGGTAGTTCTTTCTATACAAGTGGTAGTGGGAGGAAGCAAAGAATGGGTGACAACTATGCTATTTTGGAGAAAAATGATTGCATTGAAGCTAGCTGTAAGGAGCAAAAGTTAGCGTTTACTTCATCTCTGGAATAAATATCCAAGTCAGTTATTGAATGGAGCTATTTTGCCTGCATGTTCATTACATTTTAAAATCAAGACATGATCCTTGGCTCATGAAAAGAAAAAAAATCAGAACTCCACATTTTCTAAGATAGATATTTATGAATGGAAACTTAATGAAATGATTAAATGCTGATTAATTAGCAAATGAACACCAGATGAAGGTCTGTTGTCCTGCGTGTCCCATCAACAGTGACGTGTAACTGTAACATAACACAGCACACTTCCTCCTCCCGTTACCCTGTGGATGATGCCAGCAGAGTGCAGGTGCCTGATGCCACAGAGGATCTGGTAGAGCAGGTAGGACATCCGCTCATGGTCCAGGTCCATGTGGATCACCTGGCATAGGCTGGCATCCATCAGCTCCATTACAAGATACCTGAAAGAGTAGGAAGAGCAATGTGCAATGCAGGAGGGGGACACGAAAACAGAGGCATGCTAGTTAGAAGTAGCTTCAGCTACAACCTCTGAGCCCGACAGAGAGTACAACGTAAATTGTTGGAGCCAAAACAAACTTGACTGCCACTCACAGGTCCTGGAACTCCTCCAGGGACTTCTGAGGCGTGAACACATTGATCAGACGGATGATCTGCAGGCAGAGGGACGGGCCGTTAGTCCGGGCGCTTCCTCGCCTGTCTACGCCCGCTCCACGGGGGAGAGGGAGTCGACTGAGGACAGAGCGCTCGAGAATGCTCCTCCGAGCAAGGAATCACATCAACTATTTTCCTCAAGTTTGTGCTGTAGTTGAATATTTCTAAAGAACGAAAGACAATTTGTCTGTAATAATAAGTCTTTCTTATTATAAGCAGCCAAAGGGGGATGGATGGATGAATACATGCATACATACATGTATATGAAGCTGCATTGCAAAAATACACCCCAAACTCTAGCCAAGGCTACTATCAGATCAAGTATCTCCTAAAGTTAGTGTTTATATCCCTCCTTCTTTAGAGCTCAGCAAAAAGCATCACTCCGAGGGAAATCAGGAGGTAAAAGCTGTTACTTTGGGTGATAGCGACGAAAAGGAAAGACCTCTTAATGGCCTAATGGAGGTGTGATATCTGATCACGTTACTAAGAACACTTTCCACGAGGACACACTCTGAAATTAAATTTTAAGCCTTACATTCTTGTGATTGACACATTTTAGCAGCACCAGCTCCCTGTAGGCCCGCTTAGCGTGCGTCTGGTTCTGAAAGGGTCGACACAGCTTTTTCACTGCCACCGGGACCCCGAGGTCTGAATCCAGAGCAGAGCTGGTGACACACAGAGGAGGGAAGAGACGGAGACGGAGGTTATCCAGGTCGACAACATCTGCATTCTGCAAAGGAAAGCTTCTGTTTCACTTGACATCAACTTGGCGAAACGAGAAGCCAGCTGCTGGTCTCTTGTTAAGAAAAAAAAAGGAGAGGAGAAGAAGTAGTTTTGCTTTTCTTCAAACATTAAAGGGGTCAACACAAAGAAAATGATGCAGGTGATCAAATTCTCATAGATGGGGAACCTCAAACAAGCATAACATGATATTTCAAAGAAATATTTTTTGGAGTTGCACTAGTAGAACAAGCTAACACTTCACTTCACTTTTCGACAGCTTAAAAAATGTGGCTTTAGGGTGGCGCTCAGTTCAAATGAAGGAATGAGTGTCAAAGATGGAAAGGGCTCATCATGCCACCAATAAGACACGCCGTTATGAACAGGAATAAATGCATTTATAGTGGAACCTAAGAAGCCAGGGATCGGCGTCCAGAAACGTTATGTTTAACGAGTCACCCGTGTCAACAGGAAAGATCAAGATCAAAGTAAAAACAATCAAATTGACCTCTTTTTCCAACTCATACACCGAATGTTCGTATCCATATCACATCCAGAATATTTCCATTTAATGCAATGATGCAATCCAAAAACCTTGCACGTGGATAGTTTGAAGAGTTCAGCGTCATATAATGTGGCTTCAATCAAGCTTGAGAAGAAGTTAATAAAGAATAAACTGCATCTGTCACATTGTCAGGCAACGAGGAAGAAGCTAGGGGAAAAGAATGTTGATGATAAGGGATTAAAGGCAGACAGGCAGAAACAGACATTTTCCTTTGTCATAGAACAGTAATAGTACCGTGATAGTGTGACAACGAGCAAGCGTGCACAATACCCTGAAATTGAAGCGGCAAAATCGAAATTCCAAGACTTTTATTATTCACACCCATGCAACAGCTGCCGTGTTTCTCTGACTTGGCAGAGCTGTGGATATGAACAGCACCCTTCGCTGGTGACACTGAAGCGCTGATAAAAGCAGAGCATCTCTCACCAGACGATGCCCTGGGCGCCGGAGCCGATGGCCCGGAGCTGCTGGTAGCGCTTGAGCACAGTGAAGGTGGAGTCTCCCACCTGGACGCTGTAGAACTGGCCCTCGGCCTCACTCATCCTGCTGAACAGTCGGTGCCGCCGGCGATGTCTGCAAACAACACGGAAAAAAAGGTTACAAACGTCGGGGTGATGCTTTTGTCGCACTTACGAAGAAGCGTGAAACCTTTTTTCTCCCAGGCCACTGAATTACTCGAAAGATCAACAGTGAACGGCGGCAGCCTAATATGGTTCCATCTGTCGGCCCCTGGCTTCACTCCCCCGATTTCCAGCCCGGTCCTGATGCCCAGCGATCCATCACCGCTTTCTGGTCAGGCAGCTAACGGCTTGGTGCTCCCGAGGCTCTCGTTGCAATATTCAAACTCATTTTGACACACTTGTGCCCAAAAACCTTTTATGTGAACCCAGCTTCATCGTTGTGTTTTCATTTAAATGTTTCAGTGTTAGCATTGATTCCTCCGGAAGGAAGTGGAGGAGGAGTATTATTCTTGGCCAGTGTTTATGAGTGTGTGTGTGTGTGTGTGTGTGCAGGGCATACACATTGTGTAGCTACGCAACAGCGGGCTGCTTGTCACCCCCTCAGAACACGAGCACACGTTAAATGGAGCAGGGCATTTCAGCCCGGTCGGTTTCTTCCCACATTCCTGGAGAAGATGTGATCGAATGGAGCCAAAACGCGCCTCCAGCCGTCTGAATTGTACAGCTCCTCAGCCTGAGCCTCGACACTGCGACAGCCCTTTGAAGAGCGGCGGTGAGCGAGCCGCGATCTATCGAAACTATCGGAACTATCGACCGACCGTCAGCTGACTCGACTGCTGCTGCCGTCAGTTTGGAGCTGGTAGCAGAGAAGGGGAAACCTCTGGTGACATTCTGCCAGATGTGTTTTACAACGGTCATTCTGTCTACTGGATGACCTCCTGTCATAATACGATCTGTAATTTGTTTTAAAACATCCATTTAGTGAAATACATCTCAACACTAAAAGAAATACAGCTTCAGATGTAGTCTGTGTGGCACCACTACTCCGATGAAAAATGAATCCTCCTCCTCCTCCTCCTCCCATCCCGCTGGCTCTCTCACTGCACCCAAGGGGAGAGATGCAAAGACCTTCACTTTGTTTGTGCTCCTCTCAGTCTTTTGCCATTTTTCCTGGCCTCGTCTTTCGTTCTCTTTCTTTCATGCTCCGACATTCCCTCACTCCTCTGCCCATCTCCCCTTTGCCCCCCTAAAAATAACCCCACAGCGAGACTGAGGGGTATTAAAAGATGTGTTTTTAATGAATATCTTGATTATTACTCAAATGAAATCCCTGGCTCTGGTGTTATAACTTGGAGTCTAAGGATTTCTCTTGGAAGCTAAAAGTGGCACTTGGATATTTTCCTCCAGTATCTATTTTTTTTTACCTCAAATTCTAGGGCACCGATTCTCATGTCAAGCGGGGAAAAAAATAACTCTTTTGAACAGGGCCATTAATCATCACCATAACCGATTTCAACTGGTGCGAGCACAGCACGCGTACAAGCCTCCGCTGACTGCAAGCCGGGCGCGACTACAGGCAGAGCGTACAGATGGATGGACTTCGACAGGGAATCGCATGTACGGTCAAAGAAAACGGACAAGACTCCAGCAGACCACCTGACACATTGTTGCACAGCATCGGCACGGGTGGACGTGTTTAAACTCGATGGGCTCGCTCAGTGTAAATGAAAGTTAATGTCACCATTCCATTGCAGAAAGGCTACGGGACACCTGAAAAAAAACTAGGAACTAAAAAAATACTAAAACAACATTAACTACTTGCATTACATCACTGATATGTTTAGCAAATATGTGACATTAATCATAGCTGTGCCATCACGCCGCTTGACCTCAGTAATAATGACAGAGTTGTGTTATGGCTCGCAGGTGTATTGCAACGTTTGTCCTTCAAATCGCAGACACTTAAGTACACAGTTGAACCCTGTGGCTGCGGACTGTACCCAATCAAGGTCTCAACACATATTGCAATTCATTATTCTTCCATATTGTTCAGCACGAGTGCTTAACTGGCAGTTAAGAAGCGGTTATAGAAGTTTTCTTTGTTTAACCAGTCGCTGAATCCAAGAGTGGCGTCAGCGCTAACACCACCCGTCTGTGTAATGTTTTCTATACGGGGGAAGAATTGAGCTGGTTGCTTTCTCTGAGGGACCAGCACTCCTGTAAATCCGGTTTGTCTCTCGCTAGAACGATGAAGAAGAAGCTAATCTTATAATACGGCGTTTCATTTTCATGTTTATAACCTGTGATTCTGAAAATACTATTCTAGTCAAGTCATTGTATTTCTAAAGCCCAACATAAAATCAATTCATTTGGCAGATGCTTTTGTCCAAAGAGGATTACATTTCCCACACACACATATCAGTGTGAACAATGGGAGCCTGAAATCAAACTACCAACTCTACATGTGGGAATAACCGCCCTACAGCCCTACAATATAAAAGCCCTACAATATCAATATTATTCAGGTATATGGTCAAAACTTGTCTCCATATACGCTAGTCCTAATCATGGAAAGGCAACGTAGAAGAATGAAAAAATATGCAGGAAAGCATAACAATGTTCATTTTTTCTTGTCCCTTAAAAATCCACAGTTGAAAAAAATATATATATATTGTTCTGTAAATTTCAATACTTCTCTCATCGGGGACGAGTAAGAGCAATGACCTTCATCTTCCTCTCGCCGAGCTCATCAGGGCTGCTGTCCTGTTGAGTCCTGTGTGGCCCCGGGGGGCCGACGTGGCCTTGGCTCTCAGTTGGGAGTCAGTGAGCCAGCTACCATATCAGATCGTGGCCCGAAGACTCGCATCACATCTCATCCTGATGTGGCAGAGTTACAAAACACAGGGAGGAGGAGGACGACGACGACGGGGTGGCTGCTGCTGCTGCCCTAGAGAAGCCGGCTGAGAGCGTACCACCATGTTCAAGGGGATGAAGGAGTCTAAAGATGTGTTAATGGGAGGTGCATTTGCTCCAACACGTGTTGCTCTTGCCACTAACGCATCATGTTGTCCCTTTCATGATGTGTACTGTGTGTGAGAACAATCTCACTGTACTCTGGGCTCAAACGACCCTTTGTCGACCTAATGCTTGCCCAGGCCTCACACTTTATGACATGTCGGATCAATTCCATGTGCACAGGGTGTCACATTAGTGGACGAGCGTGGATTTGCCTCTGACGTGACGTCACCACACAGAATATAGCACTGGCGGTAACATTCGTCACATCTTTTAACTGCTACTGCGGGCCACGGTGCTTCTATTGTCTCAGTGAAACGTTGAAATAGGTGATATCAGCATTGTTTGCGGGCACGATAAGTACACCGACAACCTCGTGTGTGTGTGTGTGTGTGTGTGTTATAACACAGCGTGAGCCTGAAGGAGCGTGTCCCGTATTTCCAGTCGCAGCACTACTTAAAAAAACACGCCCCCGTGCGCGCACACGAGAAGGAATGAAGTCACCGGTGTGTGACACGCCGCTGGCACCTGGCGGCTCAGCGGTCACAAGCGACACGTTCACGCCGCGTTCGGCCGGTTGTAAAGTTACGACACGTCACGCTGCCCGTTTTCGCCACTCGGTGTCGGAAAGCAATGCGGTAAATGAGTCGGACCGGAGCTAAACCGAACGCTCGGACGGACTGACGGACATACGGCGAGACCCACCTTCTCCCTTCGCCGCTCCCGGGGCACTCCCGTGCATCGAAAACACAGATACAGCAGTCGCTCAGTCTTTCAGGCACGACCTGGACGCGTTAAAGTTCTGGAGAACCGGCTGTCACGACGAGTGGCGCTTTCCTTCAGGTCCTCACGTAAGATGTTAACTCCGGCGGCAGCGCGCAGGAACGAATGCGGAGGAAGCGAACGCCACAACAGGAGCGGAAGGGAGCGTGCCGGTGACGTCATCGCGTAGTTTACGTCAGCGCAAAACCTTTTTTACTGATGCTCTGGATGTTATTACTGATTCAAATATCGGTGTATGGTTCTGTAGTAGCATGAGCAATCAGATCCTTTTCTGGAGTAAGTAATCTAAGATGTAAAAAGAAAATGAAAAATCCGATTCTTCAATGTAACTTGTTAGAAGTCCTGGGATTAAACTGAATGAGTGGCTATGGAAGCTCCTGCACTTTCTCACATACATAAATGAATGAGAACTAGATACCTGCAGCAATCATGCTCCTGTCTTAGTTAGAGTATTAGGATTTGTTTTTACTCACCACCACAACAAAGACAGGCAGGAAAGGAGAAAAGAGGAATAACAGCAACAACACATACTAAACATCATGCCTTTATCTTTTTATTGATTGATAGTACCTTATGTCTATAAAAGAGTATAAAATACAATCACGGATAAAGATATTAATCAAAACCTAAGCCCTTTTCAAATAAAAATCAGATAAATACACAATATTATTATTATTATAAACCCATACAAAAAAAATGAAATCACGGTACATAATCTTTTTTTGCTGCATGAGTGCTGAATATGTATGATGTATGTGTAAGGAAAAGCCACTTATGACACAAATAAGTAATAGGAAAGTAAGGGAAGAAAAGGTTCAAGTTCGGAAACAGCATCAACAATACAATATATTTAAATTAGAATGAAATAACAGTAAAATGGAGACATGATGTTAGATAGATAGAGGTGACAGCTAAAAATATTGAAGTTTTGGGCCAATGGCTAACTAGGACCGTTCAATGTGCAGCAACATATTCAAATAAAAGAGAACTTTAAAACAAGAGTTTGATTCCTACAGTTCCAATTATTCAAAGAGAGGTAAGACGCCCCCAGTCAACATAAGAAAACCATTAAAAACAGAAAAGAATAAATCACCTCATGCATGATTCTGTGCATGCATACCACCCATTTGGTCCCCTTAGTGCACAACTGTAAACACTTCAATACACCATATCAAGGTTTTTCTTATAAGTTTCTTTTTGGCTCATGCTGAGATAAGAAAAAGGCACAGCGTGTTGGATGCTTTGGATGTGTGAAGGTTGTTTCATACATTGTTCCGAGAAAGCCTCAATGGCACTGGCTTGTCCACAGTCAGATTTGGACTTCACATTTCTCTATTTAAAAAAATAAACTAATTGTAGAGTATACCTCACTCTGTCAGTTTCTCTCACTCACACCTTCTTTGTTGCACGCACACATACAAAGTGCCATATTTCACCCCAATCTTGAAACACGCACGCACGCACACAATCAAACATACTGAACAAATTGCACAATTGGACTGTAAATCTACACGCCTCCTTTCTCCTCTGTAGTGCTTTGCATACTGTGCTTATTCCACAGTCACAGATTTGGCCAAGTTTCTGGGAAAGTCCACCTGCCAAAAAAAAAGTATTTTTTCACAAAAAATGCATTTGTTGTACCTTAGCTATAAAACAGACTGACAGTAACAAGCTAGAAAAGGTGGATAAAATGTTAAAGACACAGAGACTTTGAGTCCCTGACCAAGATGTGAAAAGTCACCAATTAGAGCCGCTATAGCTGTGTGAACTATTCATGGACATCATCAGCATCAGGCCCCGAGCTAATGTGTCTCAAGCTAGCGTTCTCTTCAAATGATTGCAACAAGAAGTCAAATTTGAAAATTACTGTTATTCTCACTTTATTTATTATATAGTCCCTATTTTTACGTTTTCTTCCTACATCGGACAAACACAAAGCTTCAAAACAGCAGTCCACCAACCAATCACAGCGACTATGTTGTGAACATAGATTGATTGATGATCGATTCTTTCCAACCATAGACATCAAAGTAAATAACAGATCCCCGTTTTAGCCAGCAACACTGCTGCGACCACTATAAAATATGTTAATGAATAAATAGACTCCCAGAGTCTTGTGCTGCATGACTACAGTCCATGGACATGTTGAAATGATACTATTCATAATCATTGTTGAATTATCATGAATGTTGACAACATTGCATGTATCTGAACGTCAGACTCAGTATATCATTAAAAGTAATGTGCAACAATATCAAATCCACAGGCAAATAGATAGCCAAAGCAAACAAGACAAACACAAGGGTTTTTCAATAATTCTCTATGTATTTAAATGTCATGTTCCATACCAGTTTTGTCTGCTTGATAAAATTAACATGGTTATTATTCGTCATAAAAATTAAAAAATTGACTGTTTTTGTGCGGTTTGCTTGAGTGAAAATGGTGCCGATCGCTTACGTCATATCCTCGCAGGACAGCCAAGTGGAAGGACAGGAGCTGCAGGGGGATGACACTGAGGATTCCCTGCAGACAGTCCACAGTATGCGGCAGCTCAATGGTGTGGTAGGCCATCTGACTGATCTCAGGGTCGTCCTGGCAACAAAGGATGATGGGCCGACCCTGATGGAGAGAGAGTCGCGAGCGAGGACAGAACATTAGTCGAATGTAAGAGTGTTACAGTAGAAACAAAGGGGCTTTTCCAGGACCTACTGATCTGGCAGTGACTTGTTGCAGAGCGTTCTGGCACTTGGTGTAGCAGGCGTCCCTCATGATGATCATGATGACCGGCATGTCTTTGTCTATAAGAGCCAGAGGACCGTGCTTCAGCTCCCCGGCCAGGATGCCCTCAGAGTGCATGTAGGTGATCTCCTTAATTTTCTGAATTCAAGTGAAAATAATCAAACTGATTGACAACATGACACCATTCAAGTATAATTAACCTTAATCTGCTGAGATTTTGAATCCTATTTTTCAAAGATGACAGTGTAAACGTATCACGCAAGCGCCACTTAATAACAAAGATAACCAAACGTACAATGTACTAATCTAAGGTTGTATAAGGAAGAGATGAACACAACAATTACAACATTTAAACTCTGTTATGTCATCTGATGTATCTGTCCTATTTCACATTATTCTAGGAGCAGTGAATTGCAGTTTTTAGACAGATTACTGTGGCATCCTCTACTCACCAGCGCCCCCTCGAGGCAGGTGGCGTAGTGGAAACCTCGGCCCATAACCAGAAGAGACTTCTGCTCATAGAGTTCATCAGCGATGGCTTTGATCTTCTTATCAAGGGCCAACACTTTCTTTATCAGCTCTAGGAGAATATGAGATTTAGTTGTGTGTAAATGGAGGTATTGTGACAATGAGCATTTTGTTGTACAGCTTCGTTTGTCAGTGTTTGTGACTAACCGGGTAACACCCTGAGGCCTTCGATGATCTCCCGTCTTCTCTGCTGCCGGGAGAGCCTGTCCTCGCTCATCATGAGGGCAAACATGATGAGGGCCACAAACTGACTGGTGTAAGCCTGGATCCCATTCACAAGAAACACTCACGTCAAACACGTCTGCTGTACATATTGCTGTTGCCAGATTAAAAAAACGGATGAATCCTACCGCACCTTGGTGCTAGCTACTCCTATCTCAGGCCCAGCATTGACGTGGACGCCGCAGTCCGTTTCTCTGCAAATGGAGCTGCCGACAGTGTTGGTCACGCCGACTGTCAGAGCACCTTGACCCTTGCAGTATCGAAGCGCCATTAAGGTGTCGGCTGTCTCTCCTGAGGAAGCAGAAGACAATGATTCAATATGATTACAATGCAAAATTACAGCAAAATGATGCCAATTGCTGGAGGTAAAACACCCTAAGATGATGGTACAAACTTCACACAGGACAATTGTGTTTTCCAACAAAATAAATATCCAGAAAAACTAAAACAGGGAACTCAGAAGATATGAGGTTTCTGTGTTTTGTTTTCACCTGACTGACTGATGAAGAAGCAAACGTCGTCCCTAAAAACAGGCGTGTTGCGGTCCAAGAAGTCGCTGGCCAGCTCCACCATGACTGACAGCTCCGTCAGCTCCTCGAGGACCTGTCTGGTCTGAAAATTAAGGACACGATTTTTCTGACCATCTCCTTTTTCCTCTATTTGAATTACCACACAAATAGGTGGTCATCAGACTTCCCGTAATTTTTAGTAGCTCTACTCACAGCCACTGCAGCGTGGAAGCTTGTTCCGCAGCCGATCACAATTAGCCGCCTGCAGCGTTTGATTTCTTTCAGGTGGTCCTTCAGCCCACCGAGAATCACTGAGGAAGTAGACCGTGGTTAGAATAATGTGCATTGAAATGAGGACATATAAATATTAGTCCATGACTTCTTATTGGTTAACATAACACGCTGAAGATCCTGTATCCTGTAGTCCCTGCTAATATTTGTATAAGGGATTGGTTACCTATTCAGCCCTACATATGTTTAAAAATTGAAGGAAGGGCTTGTTTGAAAGCTCACCTGTGTTTGAATCGAAGCAAATCCGTCCCCTCATGGTGTTGACGACGGACTCCGGCTGCTCAAAGATCTCTTTCTGCATGAAAGCATCAAAGTTACCTGCAAAGAGAGGAGCATATTTGTCACATTATATGGTCAGCACTTCTCGTGATATATCAGGACATGCAGAAGGTCCCAAAAGAGACAGGAGAAACAGAGGTGTGCACAGTCAGTGTTAAAAGAGGCCAAAAAAACTGACGGTTGTTTTCAAGTTTCACTTTCAGCCAGCAGGTGGCAGACTAGACCGGATCTGCAGCTCTGCAGCTCTGCATTAAGGTTCTCTTTGTATTCAGGTGTGGTGAAAAATGCTTTTAGGAATGAAATTGTTTGAAGTTTATGTGCTTCTGCAGAATGGTGGTTGACTCACGCTGTCCTTTTGCTTACTTTGTCAGCAAGTGAAGAACTCCCACCATGCGTCTAATCAGAAAGGTTATTAGATGTTGTGTCTCCGTTTCTTACTGCGGGTGGACTGAGACATTGTGTTGTTTAGACTAGGTGACTAAGACGGATTGCACACCTCAATCTCTGACCTTGTTTCTTTGGTATAATTGAAGTTGGTGAGATTTTCTCTT